CAGTCGACAAGTCCATGTTCAACCAAGCAGACAACGTCAGTTCATCCGTTTCCCTTTGGAGTCCTCGTGTCTTGCTAAGACTGGCATGCCTCAACGTGCGCACTTTGCTGCAGATTGGCCAACAGGCAGCACTTGCCCGCACACTAGAGACCCTATCGATCGATATTTGCTGTTTATCAGAAACCCGCCTGCAAGGTTCGAGCTCCGTGCTTACCCTGAGATCCCCCACATGCGACACTGGCGTCACATTCTCATTGCGCCTGTCTGGCGATGATGCAGCTTCAAATGCTGGTCAAGCTGGCGTCGGCATCGACCACATCTTCACATTGCGTCAAGTGTTGGAGCACCGCCATGTTTATTGGCGACCCACCGTTGTCGTGTTTCTTGACATAAAAGGTGCCTTCGACTCAGTCGATCGATGGGATACGTTTAAGTCCTTCCTCTTTAATATATCCCACTCCCACATCCCTTTTTCGGTAAAAAGTGTACCAAAGCGAAGGTACCATGGTTGGACTCAGTCGCACACCAGCTAATGAATAGACGGGCAAGATGCTGGCGGATCTACCGGACAGTTCTCTCAGAATGTACTTTTCGGCGTTATCCTGAAGCTCGGAATGCTTGCAAGAGTCATTTACGAGCTACTAGACTTAGCTATGAGATGGAGCTGGCTAACTCAGCCTCCGCAAATCCCAAAAGATTCTTCGCCTACGTCAAAAGGCGTAGTAACGTTGGCTCATCTATCCCAGTGTTATTAGGCAGCGACGGCGTCACTGCCACCACTGATCACGAAAAAGCATGTCTACTCAGTGCGCAGTATGCCGGGACTTTTGTTCGGGATGAGCAATTGCCGCATGTTGACCTAGCAATGAGAGTCCCACAGGACTCCTGTTTAACACACGTCACAATTTCGGAGGCAAAAGTTTTCCATCTTCTTCAGGGGCTAAATCCTGTTAAATCCGCTGGGATGGATGACATTCACCCTAAGCTTTTGTACGAACTCGCAAGTGAGCTATGTGGCCCAGTGACGCGTTTGTTTCAGTTGTCGCTTGGCAGCTGCTCCTCTCCCAAGGACTGGAAGGATGTTATCGTCTGCTCGATTTTTAAAAAAGGGCGACAAGCATCTCCCTGCCAATTATAGACCGGTAGGTTTGACAAGCGTACTGGCAAGGTGTTGGAGAAATTGGTCAGGGGTGTGCTTGCAAACCACCTGCGGGAGTTTGGTCTGCTCAGTCCACTTCAATACGGCTTTCGCAAGGGTCATTCCTGCATGACTAATTTGCTAGTTGCACGCGAATGTTGGGCGGATGCTTTGGATCGGGGTCATTAAGTATGTGTAGTGTTTATTGACTTCTCCAAGACGTTCGACACTGTATCACATTCTCGTCTCTCCTTGAAACTTCGGCCCTATGGAATATCAGGGCGTGCACTAAAATGGATCACCGCGTTTCTGGTAGGGAGAGAGATGTGTGTTCGTGTGGGGTCTAGTCTGTCTTTCCGTCAATCAGTCCTCAATGGGGTCTCTCAGGGTTCGGTGCTTGGCCCGTTGTTATTTTCTTTGTATGTCAATGAGCTGCCCGAACTGCTGGAGGTACCATCCCTCATGTTTGCAGATGACCTAAAGTTTTGGCACATAGTGTCTGACTTCGATGGACCCCAGACTCTGCAACGGACCCTTGATAAACTTTGGGACTGTGCTGCTCTGTGGCAGTTGCCCAAAAATTATGCAGAGTGCTCCGTCTTACAATTAGGGTCAAATGGCCCCCAAACGCGTTATCTGCTTGGCGGTAATGAACTACCCCATGTTTCCCAATTGGTAGATCCAGGGGTCACGTTGTCTTCAGAACTTAAATCCAGTGAGAACTGGAGGAAAGCTACGTGCAAGGGTTTCAGAATGTTGTGGATGATCCGCAGGGCATTCGGGACGATCACGGGCGCTATTTTTGTTAGGTTATTCTCAGCATTTGTCAGGCCACACTTGGAATACTACATCCAGGCTTGTCCACCTTGCTTAGTCAGGGACAGGATGTCAGTGGAGAGAGTGTTGAGATTTGGAACCAAACTGGTTCATGGACTACGGAACCATTCTTACCCAGAACTACTACTTGCGCTGGTAATGTTCTCAATGCATTATCACCACCATCGAGGCGACCTAGTCTTGACCTATCGCATACTTACCGGTAAAATCCGACCCGATTTATCTAGGCTTTTTCAACCGGCTCGGCTTCCATCGCTCCGAGGTCACTCGATGAAGCCACACAAACCTCAATCGGATGGAGTCCGGGCCGACTTTCGTTTATCACGCTGAGTGGTGGATTCCTAGAATGCACTGCCCGAGAACGTGGTATTAGCACCAACAGTAAAATAGTTCGAACACTGACTCAACGCTCTTGGTCTTCAATTCTTAACATTCCCCTTCACGTCCTAGCTTATTCGTCTTATTGACTTATTAAATCGATTACGTTTTTTTCTTAACGCTCTTATTACTTTAGTACTTCTCTTTCTCATCTCACGTGACCGGTGCGGCCGGGGCTGCCAATGCAGGTCGCGTGGGTATTAATTGGTTGACTGTGGTGTGATTCGCGCGCGCTGATCTGACTCTTCTGGATTCCAGTTATCGCGGACGAATAACACCCTGGATCAACGACGCGCCACGGAAGGAACATTCACGGGGATTTATTCTACTGTTCCAGTCCCACTTGAACTTGTATTTCTTCCGCAGTCGTGGTCACCAATTTAGTGAATATCCTGTAGCGAAAGCCCGGATAGCGAATCGAAAAGACAGATCGGGTTACATGGAAATTTTTATTGGTACAGTAAAAGATTCCTTGTTATCTAGCTATAAAAGCAACACCGTTGACGCTCTAGCTAGGGGAACGGAGGATACACAGCACACAGGACAGTCGCGCGTTACAACCGAAACGAGCGCCAGGCAAAATTGGCGATGACCAAGTCAAACATTCTAACTCAGCAATCACTTCAACAAACCACAGCGGTTGCCTAAGTGTATGATGAAATAATTTTAGTTAGAATTTTACACAGACTGCTACAAATCAAAGTTCAGAGGTTGGAAACCCGAATGAAAACCACAGCCCTTCCGTATGTAAAACCCCATCATAGATACTCTTTCTTCTTCTTCCAACTGCTCCTCCCATCCTCTAGCATACTTTTTCTCAGCTGTCCACTGTGTGCCGAGGGATTCGGACGTCAGTCTTGTGATCCGCAGGTTGCGGGTTCTAACCTACGTTGGTGTGGGTAGCAGCAGTATTACACTTCCCCATGCGACTGGTAGTGATCAGGTGACAAAGGAGCTTCAGCGCTACTTACCGGTAGGCTGCTAATTCCTCTTCACCTCAGGTTTACCGCCAACATTTGCTCTCTGTGTCAGATCGGTCGGAAAACAGCACTTTCTTGAACTAGATTCGTGCTGCCCCCGAAATGCGCATACAGAACTGTAGTCTTTTAACCTCATTTCAACTGCCTCCTTCGAATTCTATTAGCGACGGCTATGTGCTTCGCATTGCTTTCGATGTTCGGTCACGGTCTCGGAACGTCTCGGTTATCAGTCCTTTATTCAACGAAAAGGCTATGAGCGAATTTCCACTGGACCGCAGTAAATGCTTGATTGCTTGCGGTTCGAACCCAAACTAAATACTTCACGATCTCAGCAAACACGACGCTTTTTGTTGTCTCAGCGTGCGCCCCCATAAACTACACCCAGCTTGTCAACAAGGATTACTTTTTTCTGCAAATCTTGCCCATCATACGTATAATCGAAAACGAGTGTTTTCTCCTTGCCAATGACACTGATATTCGATTAGATCCCCTATCGGGAGCCAAACTACATTTAAGAAGGGCTCTTGGAATAGATGTTCGTTGTATTGTCCTTGGCGATCTGTGCCGACCACAACTTGTCACTTAAGCTTACTTCACTTCGTCTACCAGGATCTAAACACCAACCTGCGATGAATCAAATTGTCCTAATTCACATTGCCATTAAACTAGGATATACTTAAACGCAGATGGTTGAGCGGATCGCGAAGACAAGCTCAAAAATACACCGAGCTCAGAGAAAAATTGAATGGCGAAGTTTGCTCGCCACTTGGGTTGATAAGCAGGTAAAGACGAAATAGGTAATCCAAAACCATCATTGATTTCTCGCTTATCTTCTGCCACGATTTTCCAATCCAGGCAACAGAGAACCTGTACTGCTGGTGGCAGGCGGGCGATCCGGAAGGCCAACTATGCAGCAATCCAGAAACTCTGGATAACTAAACGTAAAGATGCTGGACAGGCAATCCTGGATGGTAGTTGGCTGAGCGCATACAAATCACAACGCGTGGGGCTCGATCAGACGATGGTTGAGTATTGGAGATCTGTATTTGGTGTGCAAAGTGCGGTAGATGAGAGACCGGTTCCCAAAGAGGAAGACCATGATTATGGTCTGATTGAGCAGATGTCGGTGATGCCCTGCGGACTGCCGGGGATACGGTCCCAGGACCAGATAAGGTGTCGGTGGCGGACTGTAAATCCTTGGAAGTGACGGTGCTCGCACAGTTATTCAATCTTATGATGGTTCTTGAGTGCCCTCCTGCGTCTCTTGCGACAGCACGACTGACATTGGTGCCCAAGGGGTCGGACCCCAGCATGCCGTCAGATTATTGCCCGATCGCGGTTTCTTCGATTCTGCTGCGGGCCTTTCATAAACTTTTGGCAAAAAGATAGAGGTAGCGTTTGACTCTGTCTTCCCTTCAGGTCGCGTTCCAAAGGCGGGATGGGTGTCTTGAGGCTTCATATGTCTTACAGTGCGTTTAAAGAAGGGTTCAGTCCGACTGCCTGAATGCGGCGTTTGCGTTCTTGGACGTTGCCAAAGCGTACTACACCGTGTCATGTGACACTATTATACGAGCCGCAGCAGCACATGGAGCCACATCAGAGCTTCAGCGTTATTTGCGTTCGTTATACACCTCTTCAAGGTGGCTACTTGGCAATGAAGTATTGGAATGTCACGGAGGTGTGAGGCGGGGGATCCTCTGTCTCCCCTCTTTTTCATTATAGTCATGGATGAGGTGATTGCTGCTACCCTGCCAAATCGGGAGGTGCGACTGTGTGGCGAAGAGATTGGTGCTTTGGTATACGCGGATGACCTTGTGTTGTTCGCTTCTTCCCAAGAGGCGTTGTCTGCGAAGCTGGTGGCTTTGCAGCAGTCACTTTCGGCGGCAGGTATGTCGTTGAACGCCCCGAAGTGTCGGGCCATAACGGTCCAAAAGCTCGGCGAACAGAAGTGCGTCGTCCTGGTGCCCTAGGCTTATCCCCTGGTGGGGGGTGAGGTCAGCCCGGTTTAGGTGACGAATGAGATCCGTTACCTTGGTTTACGTTTCAACTGAAAGGGGAGATGCCAGGTCAAAAGCACAACTGTTCTTGCTAAGTAGCTCAACGAGATCTCTCGTGTCCCATTAAAACTGCAACAACGTCTGGACATGGTGCGTGACTTTATCTTTCCCAAAATGCTTCATAAGTTGGTTTTGGGGAACGCTCATCGGAATACCATGCGGCAAATGGATAAGATGGTGCGAGCCAAAGTGCGGGAGTGGATGCGTTACCCCAAAGATGTGTCGCTCCTTTGCTTTTACACGAGTCGGGGCCTGGGGGGTCTCGGCTTACTGTCGTGGAGTATTTTTGTTCCTTTTGCTCTAAGAGCCAAGTTCGGTCGATTGTGTTCCTCACCGTCCTCGTTGGTGCGGGAACTTCTGGAGTCAGAGGCGTGCAAGGTTGACATCGGGAGTGCCAATGTTCCAGTCCGCCTAATGGGGACTGTGGTGAAGGATAAAAAGGCCGTTCAAGGTTTTTGGAGTGAAAAGCTTGAGTCGTCATGTGACTGCAAAGACTTACAGCTGGACGAACAAGACGCGGCGAGCAGCCAATGGATGGCATCTGGCCGGAGGATTTTCCCCGCCTCTTTACTCGTGCTACTAAGTTAAGGAGCGGACTTTTGCCAACAAAGGTGCGGAGCTCCAGGGGATTTCCCAGAAGACTGGTGATGTCAAGTGCCGTGGTGGTTGTGGGGAACCTGAGTCTATTGGGCACATCTTGCAGAGATGTTGTCTTACCCACGATGTCCGGTGCATGAGGCATAATCGAGTAGTACGGAAAATTGCCCAGATTGTCAAGGGGAAGCATGCGACGGTATATGTTGAGCCCATCATTCCGGTGAGATACTGTAAACCGGACCTCAATATTTGCGCCAAAGGGTCGATGATTGTTGCAAAGGTGGCTATCACATCGGCGCAGAGGCAAGAGCTGGCGTACCGTGAGAAAGTTGCCAAGTACACGGGGGCATGCAACTCGATACGCGCCTACCTTGGTGGCAAGGGGTCCAAATGACCAATGTGGTGCAGTGGTCAATCATTATCTCAGACCGTGGTTACATTTTGAAGGGCTCTGGTGGAGCTCTTCGTCGTCTTGGATTATCAGACCGTGACATTTCTGAGTTGACTCTACTGGTCATCGCGGGGTCACTGAAGTGCTATGAGGTATACATGCGGGGTACCTAATCGTCTCTCTCTTTGCGTTCGTTACAGGTATCGAGGAGGGACATAATGAAGCGGAAGGCCCAAACCTACGGGAGGTCGAAGCTGATGGGCAACGGTATGAGAGCAATTGGCGTTCGCGGACGCTCTCGGAGATTCGGGAAGACAAACACAGATGGATCTTCTTTGGATGGATTATTACTGGTGTTCTCCCCTTCCCCATGGACCTTCTTACACATCCATGGAACTTGAACTTTCACTTCAGTGCATAAACTGCATGACCATTTTTGCTTATCTCGTACCCCGTTTTAATTTACTCGGCCCAGTATTTTTGATATTAATTGGGCAGGATGTGTCAAACCGCACTCCGAAAATATACGATAAAGGTAGCAAGACGTTGGTCTTCAATGACATAATGTGCCTACTTACTACTGATCGTATTTGCTTAGACAGACGACCGAGTAATGCGGTCGGCCATTTGACGTTTTGAAACAACCCCCTCCCCCAGTTCCATGCTGAATTGCTCTCTGAAATTGAACTGTCTAGATTTGCTAAGCCATGCCGTTTGCATTGCGTATGGACAGTATACTACAGTACTAGTCGTACGTCTATATTGTGCATGGTCATGTGAGGCATACAAAAGACAAACCGACAATATTATCAAACACTACGAAGAAATCTACTAGAAAACAGGATGGATTTAGCGTGAATTGTCTGCCAACTTCTGTAAGACATCCCACGCTAAATCCATCCTGTTTTCCAGTAGATTTCTTCGTAGCGTTTGATAATATTGTCGGTTTGTCTTTTGTATGCCTCACATGACCATGCACAATATAGACGTACGACTAGTACTGTAGTATACTGTCCATACGCAATGCAAACGGCATGGCTTAGCAAATCTAGACAGTTCAATTTCAGAGAGCAATTCAGCATGGAACTGGGGGAGGGGGTTGTTTCAAAACGTCAAATGGCCGACCGCATTACTCGGTCGTCTGTCTAAGCAAATACGATCAGTAGTAAGTAGGCACATTATGTCATTGAAGACCAACGTCTTGCTACCTTTATCGTATATTTTCGGAGTGCGGTTTGACACATCCTGCCCAATTAATATCAAAAATACTGGGCCGAGTAAATTAAAACGGGGTACGAGATAAGCAAAAATGGTCATGCAGTTTATGCACTGAAGTGAAAGTTCAAGTTCCATGGATGTGTAAGAAGGTTCATGGGGAAGGGGAGAACACCAGTAATAATCCATCCAAAGAAGATCCATCTTCGTTTGTCTTCCCGAAGCTCTGAGAGCGTCCGCGAACGCCAATTGCTCTCACACCGTTGCCCATCAGCTTCGACCTCCCGTAGGTTTGGGCTTTCCGCTTCATAGCGTCCCTCCTCGATACCTGTAACGAACGGAAAGCGAGAGACGATTAGGTACCCCGCATATATACTTCATAACACTTCAGTGACCCCGTGATGGCTAGTATAGCCAACTCAGAAATGTCACGGTCTGATAATCCAAGACGACGAAGAGCTTTACCAGAGCCCTTCCAAATAAAACCACGGTCCGAGGTAATGATTCGCCAATGCACCACATTGGTCATTTGGACCCCCTTGCCACCAAGGTAGGCCCGTATCGAATTGCATGCCCCAGTGTACTTGGCAAATTTCTCACGGTATGCCAGCTCTTGTCTGTGCGCCGATGTGATAGCCACGTCTGCAACAATTATCGACCCTTTGGCGCAGATTATGAGGTCCGGTTTACAGTATCTCACCGGTACTGGAATGATGGGCTCAGCATATACCGTCACATGCTTCCATTTGGCAATCTGGGCAATTTTTCGTACTACTCGATCATGTCTCATGCACCGGGCATCATGGGTAAGGCAACACCTCTGCAAGATATGTCCAATAGACTCAGGTTCCCCACAACCACCACGGCACTTGACATCACCAGTCTTCTGGGAAATCCCCTGGAGCTCCGCACCTTTGTTGGCAAAAGTCCGCTCCTTAACTTAGTAGCACGAGTAAAGAGGCGGGGAAAATCCTCCGGCCAGATGCCATCCATTGGCTGCTCGCCGCGTCTTGTTCGTCCAGCTGTAAGTCTTTGCAGTCACATGACGACTCAAGCTTTTCACTCCAAAAACCTTGAACGGCCTTTTTATCCTTCACCACAGTCCCCATTAGGCGGACTGGAACATTGGCACTCCCGATGTCAACCTTGCACGCCTCTGACTCCAGAAGTTCCCGCACCAACGAGGACGGTGAGGAACACAATCGACCGAACTTGGCTCTTAGAGCAAAAGGAACAAAAATACTCCACGACAGTAAGCCGAGACCCCCCAGGCCCCGACTCGTGTAAAAGCAAAGGAGCGACACATCTTTGGGGTAACGCATCCACTCCCGCACTTTGGCTCGCACCATCTTATCCATTTGCCGCATGGTATTCCGATGAGCGTTCCCCAAAACCAACTTATGAAGCATTTTGGGAAAGATAAAGTCACGCACCATGTCCAGACGTTGTTGCAGTTTTAATGGGACACGAGAGATCTCGTTGAGCTACTTAGCAAGAACAGTTGTGCTTTTGACCTGGCATCTCCCCTTTCAGTTGAAACGTAAACCAAGGTAACGGATCTCATTCGTCACCTAAACCGGGCTGACCTCACCCCCCACCAGGGGATAAGCCTAGGGCACCAGGACGACGCACTTCTGTTCGCCGAGCTTTTGGACCGTTATGGCCCGACACTTCGGGGCGTTCAACGACATACCTGCCGCCGAAAGTGACTGCTGCAAAGCCACCAGCTTCGCAGACAACGCCTCTTGGGAAGAAGCGAACGCGTATACCAAAGCACCAATCTCTTCGCCACACAGTCGCACCCCCCCGATTTGGCAGGGTAGCAGCAATCACCTCATCCATGACTATAATGAAAAAGAGGGGAGACAGAGGATCCCCCGCCTCACACCTCCGTGACATTCCAATACTTCATTGCCAAGTAGCAACCTTGAAGAGGTGTATAACGAACGCAAATAACGCTGAAGCTCTGATGTGGCTCCATGTGCTGCTGCGGCTCGTATAATAGTGTCACATGACACGGTGTAGTACGCTTTGGCAACGTCCAAGAACGCAAACGCCGCATTCAGGCAGTCGGACTGAACCCTTCTTTAAACGCACTGTAAGACATATGAAGCCTCAAGACACCCATCCCGCCTTTGGAACGCGACCTGAAGGGAAGACAGAGTCAAACGCTACCTCTATCTTTTTGCCAAAAGTTTATGAAAGGCCCGCAGCAGAATCGAAGAAACCGCGATCGGGCAATAATCTGACGGCATGCTGGGGTCCGACCCCTTGGGCACCAATGTCAGTCGTGCTGTCGCAAGAGACGCAGGAGGGCACTCAAGAACCATCATAAGATTGAATAACTGTGCGAGCACCGTCACTTCCAAGGATTTACAGTCCGCCACCGACACCTTATCTGGTCCTGGGACCGTATCCCCGGCAGTCCGCAGGGCATCACCGACATCTGCTCAATCAGACCATAATCATGGCCTTCCTCTTTGGGAACCGGTCTCTCATCTACCGCACTTTGCACACCAAATACAGATCTCCAATACTCAACCATCGTCTGATCGAGCCCCACGCGTTGTGATTTGTATGCGCTCAGCCAACTACCATCCAGGATTGCCTGTCCAGCATCTTTACGTTTAGTTATCCAGAGTTTCTGGATTGCTGCATAGTTGGCCTTCCGGATCGCCCGCCTGCCACCAGCAGTACAGGTTCTCCGTTGCGTCGGGGGATGCCATTTAAGTGGAAAAACTGCTCCGTTATCTCGCACAGACGCACCACGCCTGCACTTTTGTGGAGCGTGCCGTTTTGCAACTTCTCAGCAAGCTGACCAGCCAGGTCATCCCAGTACGAAAAGTGCTTCAATTCCGTAATGCTATGGGTTAGTATTTCGACAGACCAATTGGCAACCTTCAGTCCAGCCTTAGGAGAGGCAACCTCCGCCCCCATCGGCGATTTGATCATTTCAAGAGCCACCTTAGGAGAGGCACCCTCCTCCCCGTCCGGCGGTATTAGACCAACCAACTCACCGAACACCCCGTGCGGGTCAGATTCACGCCAAAGACCCTCCAGGAATGAACGGTACTGTTCCTCATAGGAGAACTGCATAAGGTTTGGCTCAAGGGCCTCTTCGTTCTGATATGGATCCTGGTTAGTGGTCGTCTTATCGGACACCAAGTTACTTCCAGTCGACTCCGCACCAACCTCATGAAGCTCTATCGGAGGAACACGAAGCACCACCGGTGAGTCCCAAAGCAACAACTCCGAACAAGGCCTCCGCCTCGGCCAGCGCATCTTCATCAACTGTTTCTTGATGCCTTCAACATTCTGTCCAGGAAATTGAGCAAAGAGTTGACGACAGACTTCCACTTTGTTCGCGCACCTTTTAAGAAACTGGGTTACTTGCGCAAATAACCGTGAGGCTTCTTCCTCAGACCAATTTCTTCGTCTTGCCACCATATGTAACCTCACCTCACTGAGCTCCACTGGATGTCTGTGCCCTTTATGTTGGCCAAGCCCACGCTTGGAACCGAAGGCTGCACCACAAAAGCAGACATACCCGTTCTAGACATCAAAGGCAACATCCGAAATGCTATGACCACCAACCACTTGATCTTCCATTACCATTTCAACATCCAAGTCGACTTCCCGTTCCACTCCCAATCGCTCTCCCCTTCCGGACGCCACCGGAACCGAAAAGGGGACAACAACGGTACGATCGCCTCGGTTTGGAACCAAGCTAGAGACTTGGTCTGAAATTGACTTCATTTGAGGTTTAGTCACCGCGATTTGACCCAAGCAGGGTGGTTATCCCTACGTGGATTGTCCTGGTTCTTAGCTCAGAGACAGGCAAGCCCATCTCCTACCCCAACGGTCGCCACGTGGAGGCGCCCAAGACATGTAACTACTATCCCACATCTTCCCGCCAAGGCAGTGACCCTAACTGGCCACTTATTAAGCCTAGCAGCATATACCAACAGCCGGAGCTAAATGCAAAACATTACGCACCAGGGACAGAAGCTGTTAGAGAGTCATAGTTACTCCCGCCAAAGCACCTACTGGTTATTCCTGCAATCCTCTCGGTAACCCTGGCCGCCTTTGGCTCAATAGCCTGACCCACAAGACAGTGGGTGCTTTGCTTGCGAGAATCCGCCCGGAGCCTTGGGCTCAATAGACTGACCCACAAGACAGTGGAGAGCAGATCCAGCTTGGAAATGTGATTGCAGAGACAGATTGAGATCTGGTTGAGGTTCGTCTCACGCAACCTTTGTAGATCTGCAACAATTCATATATTTTTTACGACCGTAGTAGGATGCGCACCTGCGGCCTCGGCCAGGTGCAGGTGGGTTTTGGCGGGTTTGCGCCAATTTGACCAGGGGCTACCTGGCTTGAGGCGGGCAGTAGCAAACCACAGCATCCGGAAGTGCCCTCCCACCGTCAGAGACAATGCGTGGCGTTCGTGCTCTACACCAATCGAGCTGTGAGCTTTTAACCCGTAGACTTGTTGTCTCCCATGGCTAGATTTTAAGGGAAGAGGGCCTTCGAACACTTCCTAACCTACGAAGAGGATGGACTAGGATGCTGACAGCGCGCCCACACTTGACAGGCGAAGGACTCGGGTCCTCAGCCAAGGCCTTCGATTAAATGTACACCCGAAAGGCAGCGGGTCTAGCACGGTCGCGATGAAACTGGCGTGCTTCATCATCGATATGGCGGCGCTCAGTGAGACTCGGCTCTCTGAGCAAGGTAAGTTGCATGAAGCATGTGCTGGCTACACGTTCTACTGGGTGGGCAGCACCACCTCAGCACCACGTGAACATGGGGTCGGATTTGCAATATCCGATCGCCTCCATGGCCAACGCATCAGCGCGCGACTGATGACTGTTCGCCTACGACTCGGAAGAGGTAAGTTTGTCGCCTTTATAAGCACGTACGGTACGACCATGTGTTATCCTGATGACACGCGTGATCAATTCTACACTCAGTTATCCTCCGTGATACTGTCCGTGCCGAGGAGCGACCGACTATTTCTGCTGGGTGATTTCAACGCGCGTGTCGGGCGTGATGCATCGGTGTGGACAGATGTTATCGGTTCGCATGGCATTGGTTCAGCGAATGCGACCGGTGACAGGCTGCTCTCACTATGTGCCACTCACCGCCTGACGACCACGAACACTCAGTTTGCACTGAGTGCGAGTGATATAGTAAGTTGGACGCACCCACGGAATGGTCACGCTCACCTGCTCGACTATGTCATCGTGCGTGAGTGTGAAGTGCGAATGACACATGTACTGCGTGGAGCTGCGTGTGGCACTGACCAAAAGTTGCTGGGGACGAAACTGTACATATACTTTCGTAAATCTGTGTATTGCATTCACGCCGTGAATAGGCGTAAATTTAACGTTCTCTCCCTCGGTACTGTGTCGAAGAGTATTGAGCTGGAGAAGGCGATGGCTTCACGCGTGTGTGATGTGGGCTGCATAGCCACAGTTTGCAAACTGTGGCTCCACATTCGCATCCAGGTGACAGCTGCTGCCGAGGAGACCATCGGGCGCACAAACTGTAAGCGGTCTGATTGGTTTGATGAAAATAATGCGACGATTGGCGCAATGGTGTCGGGGAAGAATACAGCATTCGCTGCATGTGTGCCAGACCTCAGTGACTTGGGGAAGAGGCGGAAGTTCCGCAAACTTCCACGGCGACTGACCCGAGAGCTCCATCACATTGGAAATGCCTGCTAGACGAAGAATGCGAAGCAGATGCAATTCTACGCCGAACGCCGACAACACAAAGAATTCTTTGACTCCTTGAAGGCGGTGTATGGACCGAGATTGGAGCCGCTGAGGACGCTGATCGATGGTAGCTCAGGCGCTACCTCCACACAGACTGCTGACATAATGCAGATCTGAGGAAAACACTTTGACTGTCTCTTGAACAACCGTTCAGAGATCGACTGGCCTACCTTGAATGGCGTGAAGCAGCACGATGTGAAGGCGAGTCTGGCGGACACGCTGACACTGGATGAGACGCAGAGCGCACTTGCTCAGCTGCGAAACGAAAAGTGTGCCGATGCCGACGGGATCCCGCCTGAAGTATTGAAACACGGCGGAGCTGCGTTGGTGACTGCGTTGCACCACTTGGTGCAACGCATATGGATTGAGGAGAAGGTGCCTGCTGAGCTGAAGGATGCCCTTGTACTATCACTGTACAAGGGCAAAGGGAGCAAGCAATATTGCACGAATTCTCGTGGCATCAACTTGCTGACTTGTGTGGGCAAGGTGATTGCCCGAATCCTGCTCAACCGCCTCGTCAGTCAGGTTGTGGAACTGAACGTGGCGGAATGGCATTGTAAATTCCGTTCAGTCGCAACACTGTAGATATGGTGTTTGCAACTCACCAGTCGCAGGAGAAGTATAGAGAACGACACCACCCTTCCTACTCTTTTTTTGCTCTAACCAAGGCATTTGATAGGGTGAACCGCGAGGCATTGTGGTTGGTGTTGGGTAAGTTTGGTTGTTCGAATAAGTTTGTTAGTTTAATTGAATGTCGGCATAGTGGTATGCGGGTGATGCTGCAGCTGAATGGAAAGACCTCGGATGACTTTGCAGTTGTCACTGGTATGAAGCAAGGCTGTGTCTTAGCTTCTGTCCTGTCATCATGTCTTGCACTTTTGATGCGGCTTGTGCTTACGGTGTTCGTGTGGAGCACCATATTGATGGTGCATTGCTGAACATCCGTCGTTTTAGTGTGAGAACCCTAGTTTGTGTGACACCTATTTGCTAACGACTGTGGGTTGTTTGCACACAGCGCGGATGAGTTGCAGCACATGACTAGTGCTCTGGCTTCGACAACGGCCAAATTCGGGCTTACCGTCAACACAAGCAAAACTGTCTGTCTCTTTCAGCCTTCACCGGAGATACAATCTTCAATATTGCCGCGAATCAGCATTGGGGCTGAAGTATTGGAAATCACCTCCCACTTCTGCTACCTTGGGAGTGTGATGTCGACTGAACAGCTTCGTATCCGCGTCTCGAAGTCAGCGGCGGCATTCGGGAAGCTAGAGTATCGAGTATGGAACAACCATCAGCTTACCATTGGCACGAAGCTGATGGTGTACAAATCCATGGTGCTGTCCGTTCTTCTATACGGCAGTGAAACGTGGACGATGTGCCGGAAAGATGTGCGATATCTCGAGCGGTTCCATCAGCAGTGTCTGCGACGGATCTTGCGCATCGGTTGGTGCGACGTTTGCGGACACCGAAGTACTGCGCCGAAATGGAATGTATTCAGTGGACTGCATATTTTTGCTGAGACACCTGAGGTGGCTCGGTCATGTGTGGCGTATGGATTCGACGCGGATACCGAAGCAACTACTATATGGTCAGCTGAGTATTGGGAAGCAGCATGTTGGGGAAATCAAAGTTATGTTACCAGGACATGATCAAAGTGAGCCTCTCACGTTCTACTCTTGATTGCAGGTTATGAGAATCGGAAACGGTTAATCAGCGTGCATGGCGCGATCTCATCACGAAGGCAGTTGCTGAAGTGTGGGAGAAAGCCCTCATGCATGCAGAGAAGAAGCGGCAGGTGCGGAAGCGGCAAGCACCAATGAATTGTACCCCATCGACATCGATCGCTTGGTGCTGTAGCACATGCGGTCGCGAGTGCCTGAGTCAGGCAGGCCTAGTGAGCCATGAGCGAGGCCACTCGGGGCACCACCGAAGCGACGGCGTGTCCTGCAGAGAACGTAAGCAGAACCGGCGCAGCGTTTGTAAGTACGCTGCATTCGATTTACTAACCGCGTGCTTGCACGCTGAGTCTCTATTTCAGGTGGTGAGTTTGCTATATTGTCCTAATGCTTTTTTATCTCATCTTGATATCTGAACTAGCTTTTATAAACTTGCACACGTCGCTTAATCTAATTGTAGTTAACTTTGATAACATTTTCGCATTTGCGACATTTTTTAAAATATATTTTCTGACGTCTTGAACTTATCACCGATTTGTTGACAACCAGTTGATTTTATAGTTCATTTCTTGAGGAGGTGTCACCGTATCTGTATGCATTATTCAATTCATTTTATTTTTTGTCATTTTAAGTGATTGACTGTTGCTTGATATCCCTGGTGTGGCCGCACTTGATGTGCATGTTGACAAAGTGCCTATCTGTCTATTACCCACTACCTGGTCCATACTGGATCCAGCAAACAGTTGCTCGTTGCTGGAGGGGACGGGGTGCACGGTCCTTTTGGTCGTGCTAGGCTCGAAGAGTGGTTCCATGTACTCGGTGTGGAGTGGACTACGGTCCAGCCACCGCCTTGTGTGTACTTGATTCCCAAATACAGCGTGTTTGTGTTTGCATGTGAAGGAGTGTGGGCCAGCTCCGTTGATGAAACGTGGCTCCCATTCACCTGCCTCCCGGTCTTATTCCTTCGGGTTTACACTGGATATGGGGTGTG